TGTGTCCACCTATAACTAAAAAATAAATATTTTTTTTAAAAAAAGAATGAAAATAAAAATGTCCTATAAATAGGACACTGGAACAATATATGATCTTTTACATAGGACATTGGGCAAAAATAGTATCTGGGACACTGGAATAAAAAAGGTTAACTTAAATGATTTTTTTCATGGTTCCTTACATCCCTTTCCTTGGAAATTATACCTGGTCCCCCTAGATTTGTCCTCATTCCTGTCCTCAGTATTAGAGGTTTTATGTATTTTTGTATTTAGTTAAATAACAGAAGTGGAAGTTCATAACCCACTTGAATCAAAGTGTGGAATATGATATGTCAAGAAATTTGTAATGTTTTGAACAACCCACAATAAAAAATTAAAAAAAAAAATAAAAAAAAAAAAAATAACAGAAGTGGAAAAATAAATTTCTGTTCTTTATAGTCTCATACTGGGGAATAAAACTGACCAAATTATATTGTTGTATGTATACAAATATGTAATAGCAGATCTCACTATAATGTGTAATTATAATGTGCCAATAAAACTAAAAATAACAGAAGTAAAAAATGTTTAGTTTGCATTTTTACAATACTGAACTTTGTAATATAAAAAGCAAGAGTTACCTCTTGACCCTCAATTCTACTTCTACCTCTAGTTCTAGCCTAATAGAACTTTTATACACACACATATCTATGTATATACCTATACACATGACATACATACATGTACATTTTATTCTATTTGTTCAAAATCAATATTGTTCTTTCATAGAGGAAAATCATCATTTTGTCTGATACCCAAATCGTGTTTATTAAACATTAGAAAAAGAGGCAATATGTGTTAGGAGCTATAGAGTTGATTGAAAAATCACTGTGACCATCTTTTATTTGTCTAGTCATATGTTTACACATCAGTATTCACTCTTAAAACTGTAGGAAAATCTTAACTTGCAGTAAACTATGAGAGATAAAATTTATAACATTTAAGACTGATTTTTAAAATTTTTAAATGCAGGATCTGAACAATCTTTTCAACAGCTTCTGCCAGAATTTTCTTCACAGGAGGGGAGCCAGCATGCTGACCTACCAACTATTTTTAGCATTGAAGCAAGAGATACTTCCCAAGGCATGGAAAATCAGAACTATCCCTCCAAAGAACAGACTGAAATATTACAAAATAAGAAAAAAAGTGTTCATTTCCAGGTTTCCAGAGGAAATTTAAATTCCACTTACAGTTCATCGGATGAGGCTAATGTATTTCATCAGTTACAAGTACAGCATAGTACTCCTTGTAGTTCTTCCTCTAGTGAGTGCTTAATAAAACATGAACAAGAAAGCAGAAGAGAAAGATGGGACTTTGAAGAACTATCAAAAAAAGATGTCCTTACAGTGTTACCCAGCCAAGGACTCACTGAAGATGAAAATGAATCTTGTGGAGTTTTAGCTACAGATCCACATGTTGAAATTGATTCTCAGTTATGTGTAAGAACAGCGGAGATGGGAACTTCAGTTCAGACACCACATTCATTAAGTATACAAAATGAAAAATATTTTGAGAATTCAACTAAAACTGAAACTCCACAAGTCATAAACCTGTCTCAAATAGCAAAATCAGAGTCTCTTAAAAGTTCTGGATCATTTTCATTACAGAGTTCTATTCCAATCTGGGTAAGTGAAATCTATGGAAAGATTTTTCAATATAAATGAATAAGGTTACTTATTAATATTTCTGAGATGAAATGAGAAAATTTCCAAATTTTGAAAGCTTATGTCTAAGAGTTTTACTACTTTGGTTTTTTTTTTTGTTGTTGTTGTTGTTGTTGCAGCTTAACTTTCCACTGATAAAAGACTGAAAATAAGGGCTTCATCTACAACCACAGAGGTGTTTTAGTTGGTTATTTTTTTTTCCTCCTTTATATTCTTCATTATGTAAAACTAGTTACTTCCTTTGGAACATAATCTGGTCTTGTGGCCTACATTTGGCTGGAACTCAATAGCCACTGCTGTCTTTAGGATATACCCTCTCCAGTTCTATAATTCCCCATCTGTCTAGCCACATTAACATTTATTTAGGTTAGTAATCCTTTCAATACAGCTACCATACTATTTTACCCCATGCCCAAAGTCCATTCTAGTATTTTTAGTATGCTGTGATGGGGGTAGGTCCCAAGGGAGAAACTATCATCTGTTGATCTTACTGTACAGTATTTTTGCATTTATGTCCACATAAGATTCAAAGTGCAAATTGTATATTTTGAACATTTAAAGGGCTATTTTCATATGACTTCCCGTTTGTTTTACCAGGAGACAGAATCTGGTAATGGTATAATGGAAGAACCAGAACTTACTTTAGTAAGCACCAGTGATATTAGCATTATTGAAGCTGAATTTGCAAACTTATCTCTAGAAGAGAAGAATGAGGGAAAAGGCTACCTTCAGGTAAATTTTATAGCACTCATTAAATATGCCTTATACAGGAATCTGAATTGGGGAACAGAATAATTTACACAAGGCATGCAACATGGCTAAAGCCCTTAAAGGCCTCCTAAATGCATTGCTTTGCAGTCCCCAATATACACATTCATGATGGTGTAGATAGTAAGACTTGAGTTGGAACTTATGCCTGTCCTTCCATGTCCAGTATTTTCTATCAAAATTTTGAGAAGCAGGTATCCTAGAAGGTAAGGAATTCCAGGTCTGGGGCATATTCACTTTACTTTGAACTTTGTAGACCTGAAAAGATGTTGCTGTTTGAAAAACAATTTTCTGCATGTTCTTTGTTCCACTACAAGCAGACCATCTGATCCTTACTTGGTAGTGTAAACCCTAACTGGACCCTGCTTTCATTGTCTATTGTTTCTTGATCACATTTGTAATATTCTAGTTGTGGTTTTAGGTCATTTCTTACTAGCTAAATGATGCAGAAAAGTGTTTTCTGGCAGTGTAAAAGCCAGTGCTAACAAAAATTCTTTTTAGAAAACTATAGGTATTAAGAGGAAATTAACATGACAGCTTGTGAGAATAAACAGATGGGAAAGGGCTATAAGAACAATGCCATATAAGCCAGGCATGGTAGTACACTGCCTACTACCAGAGGTTGAGGCAGGAGAGATGGCAGGTGTAAACCAGGCTCAGAATACCTATAATGCTGCCCCAAAACAATTGAGACAATTAAGTGGGAGAACAAAACGTGGGTGGGAACCAAGTCCCAAATAACACAAATTTATGTTCCCCCACGTAACACACTAATAAAGAACATGTTCAAAGACTTGCACAGATAGTTGGCAGAACAGTGGAGTCCTAATTTTGGTGACAAATCAATCATTTTTTGAAGAGGACAGCATGACTGAATTTTCCTGTCTTTAGGTGAATGAATTTATTCCATCAGAAACAGAAAACTCAGATTATCCAGTCATATCAGAGTTTTCTTTGCAGAAGTCAACAGAATCTACAGGTATGTCTTGAGTATCTGAAATGGTGAGTCTAGGGATCACACCTTTTAAGCCGAGAATAAACTACTATATACTTAAATAATTCAGCATGGCCCCAACTCTTTCTTAAAATAGAAACACTACCAAAATGTACAATGGCAGGAAGCTTACAAGAAGCATTTGTAAAGAGAAAAAAATCATTTTTGGAGAGATCCTACCAGAGGCAGAAAGAAATAAGGAATAAGAGTAAACTCACTGAAAATTCCCAAGTCAAAACAGTTAAGGAGAAACAATGTACAGGTATGCTGACTTTGAAATCAATCCACTCTCAACCACTTTCCTGGATGATTGTGTGAAATTAAAATTAAAATTTATCAGGGCCTTGCCTATGCAAGCATTGAGACTCTACAATCTCTGGTCTTTATTTCCCTTTTCCCAGGTTCATCTGTGAGTCGCCTTAAGGGAGTCAATAAAGTTAAAATGAATTTTCCAGAAGAAAGAAAGAATGCACACACCCTCATGCACCAAAGGGCTCTAAGGTAGCTTTTTTTTTTTTTTGCTTTATTTTTAGTAGCTCATTTTTCAATATTGTATTTAATTCCATATAAATTACTTTCAGACTATATAATCAATTAGCTGAAGTGAAACAACAAAAGGTAGAGAAAGCAAAACAAGAAGCTTATGCCCAGAACAGAGAAAGGGCAAAAGAATTTCATAAGGTAAACAAGCCCCCTCCCTTCTATATTTAAGGCATACCACAATAGGAACTGCTGCTTATTTTTTATTTATTCTCTCCACAGAAAACACTAGAGAAACTTCGAGCCAAAAATACAGGCTGACTCTTCTTTAGAATGGTGTTTTTCTTTTAAAAGTGTGTAATTTTAAGTCAATAAATTTTTATTTAAGGAATTTCCATTGTGATTCCTTTGCTGTCCATTCCAAGAATACCCTAAAAAAGAGCATAGACATTGTTGGTTAAACATTCCCACATCTATCAATCATCATGATCAAAAGTTGCTAAATAAATGTTATCTCCTCAGGAATATACAGCACTACTGAGTGACTATGGGGTCCTGTGGAGAACATTAATCTGTGGTCACTGCGTTAAGGGCTCCTGGTTTCACAGCCCCAAAAGCCCTCTTTGAAATGACCATTGTATTATATAGGTCTCAAGTACACACACATACCTTTTTAGAAGATCTGATGCTTATCTGTTTGTTTCAAGAGCCCTATAATATAATAAGGATATAGAGAATTAGAGCAATCAAGAATGAGTTCTGGAGCCATATCACCAAACTGGTGTAAACAGTGTGTGTGGTTTGGCCTCAGAAAGCTAATTATCTACCAATCTGAATGTTTTAAAAGTCTAGGCAACATAGATTTAAAAAAAAGTATACTTGAATGTTCCCAATAGGTTGAATGCTAGCAAAGTAGCAGATAGAAAACCTAGAGGGAATTATTTTATGGTCATGTCCACAGCAAATAAGAAACTGTATTCTAAAAGCCTTGGTAATGACCATTATACCTTGGAAAAAACATTATAAGGTAAAAAAAAAAAAAAAAAGTTACTTGCCAGATGATTTCACAATTCTCCACCTGTGAAAAAATTTATATTTAAAATGCGGTCATCATCCAATCATTTAGAGAACCCAAAATGCCCTGATCACTAACCATTATAAGGACAACCATTTTGGAAAATACATAGTATATTTAAATGTGGATGTTCAGAAAGGCTATTTTCATTCAGCCCATTCAGAGCAGTTGAACATATTGCCCATCATCATAACATAGCTAATCAGTGTTGAGCACTGATTAAATACTGAAAAATCTGATTTGGGTGCAATATGATTATTAGACTTCCTTTTTGTAACTAGTAAAAATCTTACCTAAGTTACTCAGGATTTAATTTCTTCAAGTAATTTGACTTTAGGATCCTAGGAATTGAATTGTACAATTTCATTAATCATTTCTTATCATTTTTAACATTTTTCTCAATATTTTCACTTATGAACTTAAGCAAAATATTACAGGTCTCATTGTCACCACTGCAAGATAGATACTGTGATGGAAGCATAACCTGTGTCAATTTAGCCACATTGACCAATTCTGAACACTGATCAACAGTGCCCATTCTCATCTAGAATGAGGCTTTATAAATATTCCTCTCAAGCTTACCCAAACACTATGCAAAAGGGCTTCTATATCTGTATGAAATTTCTTTTCTGCTTACCAAATAGGAGAAAACAAACAGCCAGAAGCAATATCAACAAAGCCTTATACTTTGGGATATAGATGGATCTGCTTGGTTCTCAAGTGTTGACACCTTACAAAAAGAAAAGCATAATTCACCATTTAAGACTATTAAATAAATGAACTAACAAATACCTATAAAAATGCTGTATCAATAGAAATACCAGGTTTAACATGCACAAAGCCAAGAAAACCAACGATGCCAGATACTGAATTTCTATTGCACTGTCCTTTGAACACGCCAGCAGGAAGAAACTGCTGAGTGCAGATACCATGCAGTGCAGAGACTAAACTGTTCCCTCTATTCCCAAGTCTGTTGTGCTGCTGCCAAGAAATGTGATGAGGAAACTACCTTTAAGAACTCTACTGATCTGGTATATATGTGTAATAATTGTAACGCAAAAAAAGTACATGTATGTATAAAGACAAAAAACTCTTAAATGATCCAGCCTCTCTAAATACTGAGTAGGGTATAAGGCCCTGAGTCCCATTCCCACACTAGAAATGTCAATGTCACTTGCTCAAATTGTCAAAGCCTTTCGTTTGTCAGAATGCCTTTCATTTCCTATTGAATCAACAAATCCAGGCAAACATGGTATCATGTAGAGAGCTGTCATGTAATACAAAGGAGGAAGTAGGAAATACTTCATGTAATGTTAGAATGCCTAAGATCTTCAAGTCCTTAATAAATTAGTAAAAATTTCACTTACTTCTCTAACATAAAAATCACCAAGTTCAAATCATATTCACTCCTATAGAGAAATTACCAAATGAAAAATTTAGTGAGGGACACTATAAATATTCTAATATAAAAACCAAAACATAAGGGAAGTTTCATGTGCAGACACATATTCATTCAGCTCTGTCAGAATAAAGTTTTAGTTCATATCTGTGTCATTCAGCAGTTGAACAGTTAAATTCATCATTTGAACTGTAATGGCATTCCAAAGGATTATATTGAATCCTACAAACTTACCTATTATCACACTCAGTACTGCAGATGTGGAATATGCCAATATCTAAAATAAAAAAGAAAAATTAGGTCTTTCATACTTTTTAATTGTCTTGTAGTTACTTCCCACAGGCCTAACAAACAGTCCTATGAGGAAAGCAAAACCACAGAATTACTCTATGAGGCGTTTCCAACGACGAGTGGCTACAAGAGAAGCCCCATCGGGATAGACCTCAACCAGTGTTTAGATAAATGGAAGACTCCAGAGGAAAACAATGATTAGCAAGAATTTCTGATGCACAAAGGAACTATAGTTAAAAATGAAAAAAAAAAAAAAAGCTACTTTCATTATAATCACAAAAAAGAACTAATTTCAAGAGTGTAGGGTATAGCTTAAGAGTACAGCCACTTGTCTACCATGTGCAAGTCCTAGAATTCCCATATCTATCCATTACCTCAAATGCAATAATTTTATAGTCCCATGGCATGGATTTGTACCAAGCTATGTAGGAGCCAAAAGTACCATCAAGTAGGTGACTTTTAGGAGTAAGTATAAATTATAGTAGTTTTTTTGAGGGGGGGTTGGGGGGAGTACCAGGGTATTTGACTCAGGAGCACTAAACATCCCCCAGCCCTATGTTGTATTTTTTAATTTAGAGACAGGGTCTCACTGAGTTGCTTAGCACCTTGCTATTGCTGAAGCTGACTCTGAACTTGCAATCCTCCTGTTTCAGCCTCCAGAACCACTGGGATTACAGACATGTGCCAGTGTGCCTGGCAGAAGTTTGGTTCTTAACATGTTTTTCATCTTAAATAGACCAGTCTAATGAATTTAATGATTCTTAGATACATAAGATATTACGTACATAAGATATCTCCTCCTTTTTTATGTGGCTATGCTGTGAGCAGACAAAATAAGAAAATAAATTTGATAAATTTTTATCATTCTTATTTATGAAACCTTGTAACTTGTATAGATAACTATTGAATTTCATCCTCCCTTTTAAATATTGAGTATACTTGAACTGGGAAACCATGTTTTAAGACTTCCCAAGAAAACTTCCCAAGTAAAATGAAACTAGTACTTCAGCACTATAAAATATTTGAATCCAAGATTGCTTTCTGGCAGTCAATGTCATAATTCAAAATTAAATAAAGCCACAAGTATCTCATTAAAATGAATTAATCTAATATACTTACACCAGTTAAAATATCTTCAAACCAATGCAACATTTTCTGAAGACAGCCTTCAAAAAAAAAAAAAAAAAAAGCCCTTCTCTTGAATCACAATATGAAAATTGGAACATGCAATCAACAAAGCTGAAATTCTCGTTTTAGAACCTTTTCATTTATCAAACCACATCATTTTAAGCTATCTTAGATAGTATACCTGCTTATATGTATCAAAACTCATACTGAACAATGAGTTCTGGGTTGCAAAAGAGGATTTATTTTTTGCACTTGTCTACAAGTCTTTGTCCAAAAGTTAAACAAAAACACACACAAGTGCTACTGTACAATGCAGTGTATTTTAATAGAATAGCTAGCTGCACAATGTTGATTACAGTAGTAAGAAAAATGGAAGTTGAAAGCAGAGCACAGTGGCACACATCTCTAATCCCAGTGACAAGAAAGAAGCGGAGATTTGAGGCCAGGCTCTGAATCCCCACCCAGTCTTAAATTTTTTAAGAATTACTGATGTAGCTCAGTGGTAGAACACCACTTGTTTCGATCTCCACAGGGGAAAAGAAGGGGAAAAAAACGCCACTTTGGTATTTGTCAGTAAGAAATGTTTTAGGAAATCTAAGGAAATTGAATATTTGGTTTTATCTTTCTATTCAGGATTAAAATCTTACTAAAGTTATTCTTTACATTTGTTTTACAAAGTTATTCACAAGTTGCTTGTTATTTTCTCTTTAGGAAGTTCTTCATTGGAATTTCATCACGAGGCTTTCACATTTATGCACATTAAACTTCTTTAGTCATTTCTTCCTATGAAAAGTCACTTTTTCTGTATATTACTTACCCGCTTTGAGTTCATCTCCTTTAAGGGCACTCTGTATTCTGTCCAATATTTTTGGCATTAGAAGCTCGCTTTTTAGAAAAAGCAGTTTCTTTATTATTATTCTCATGCTCTAGATATGTTTGTCTTCTTTGGGAAGTCAGAACTTACTATAAAACAACTATCCTCCTGCATTAAAAAGAAGATTAAACAATAACTAAAAGCAATTACAAATGTTTAAAGACTAGGTTACTTGAAATAAACTAAACTACATCTAGATTTTAAAAATCTAAATTAGCATCTGCATATTTTTTCTTTTAATACCCTAACACCACGCATTAAAACGTTCATAAAATTAGGGGTAGGCATGGAATGCAATGGTAGATCACCCATTTAGCATGCAAAAGTTCCTTGATCTAACCCCCCACAACAACGAAGACCAAAAAATTGAAGAGCCCATTTTCTCATTATCAATTATATAAATTAAATTATTTCCTGCCGTAATTATTGGACATAATATTCCTCCTATACTAACTTCAGCATTCCTCACGACAGGATAAAAATAAATCACTTACTACCAACTTGATATCACATTCATGTTCAAGATGTGCTGTCTCCTCATCTGCTCTGTAATATTAAAATGCATAAGTTAATGGAGGTGGAGTTATGTATCGTGGTAAAAGCACTTGCCTAATGTGTGTTCAGCACTGGGTTTTATTCTTAGCACTATATATAAATTAATAAATAAAAATACTCTTAAAAAGGCACAACTTAATGATAAAATATTCTAATTAGTTATATATTCTGCTGACATAATTCAAACAGTAATACTAGTCACGTCTTGTTTTAATAGTGGATGTTTTGTGTGCTGAGTTCAGCTAAAATATCCTAATTAACCTACTATATGTCTATGTTTTGATGGTATCTATGTATTAATGGTAGCTGAGTGAGGTGGCACATGCCTATAAATCCAGAGAGTTGGGGAGTTGAGACAGGAGAGCCCAAAAGCCCAACAATTTGGTAAAACCCCAAAGCATAATAAAAAATTAACATGTTCTCCACTTCTATCCAAATTTCATTCTTTGTGACGAAGTAAACTCCACTGTGTATATATACCATATTTCTTCATTCATCTGCTGAATGACACCTGTGCTGGTTCCATAACTTGACTATGGGGCACTTTGCTGTAATAAGCATGGGTATGACAATTAAGTACAATATGCTAATTCTTTTACATAAATATCAAGAGGTGGTATAGCTGTGTCATATGGTAGTCAATTCCTAGACTTTAGTAATCTCCATAGTGCTTTCCAAGTTGCTATAATGCAGTCCTACCATCAACTCATGGGTGTCTCTTAAGTTACATATAATCTATGCCCAAAGTTATTTTACATGATTCCACTTACACAGACTCTTCAATAGGAGAAATTGATCCATCATCATCCAAATATTTGTATCTACGACTATCAAGATCTTCTTTTTCCAAATCTTCACTAACATTCATTTGCTTCAAGGATTCCTTAAGGTGGTGTTCATACTTCAATTTTTCAATGTAGTTAAAAAATCCTCTTGCAACAGCTTGCTATTAAAAACACATTTTTGTCTTAGTCTTACAAAATTAAGGTGTCTTACTTCATGACAAAGTCAGATACTTATATTCAAAACAATTAATCATACTCTCACACACTTGAATCCTAACCATTCTGTACTTCTGAACCAAATTTACCAAATGTTTATTATAATATTCTTAAACAAAAGATTACAAAAATATTAATCCTCTCAAATAATTAAGCAAGACACTTTATATTCATCATGCATTCATTCAGCATTCAATTGTCAAATATACTGCTAAGTATTAGATTGTTCAGGAAGGAATTCCATCAGAAACAGCTAAACTTTAATGTCTACTACACTTTGGAGATACCAGTCCAACTTGTATTAATGCAAAAATTGGGGAATCATTTGCTTCAGGGTTATGTTTAAAGATCTGATGAAACCAAGGGATTTTATATTAAGCAGATTTGGCCTGCCATTATTCAGATTCTTAAATTCACAGAAGAAATATGCCAGGAAGAATATACCCAGAAACACTAGTGAAGTTTGTCCTTTATGATGGAGTAGATTTTATGCGGAAGTAAATATAGAATAGTATTCTGAAAACTGGAAAGGACCTGAAAACTGGTCCAGGTATATCTTAAGACAATTCTATAAATGGCCAGGTCATTTCAGACATTTTATTTTTGTGTATCCATTACATACAAAATACTAACTTACCTCAAAGGCTAAAATTTTTCTCCAAGGTAATGGTTTTCTTTCATTCTCAGATTGTAAAAATGGGAGTCTAGATCCTTTATTTTTAATTTGTTTCTTATCTATTTGTGACCTCTTGGTTTTTCTTCTTCCTTCTGGCTCTTCCTTTGTTCTTAATTTTGGCTTGTACTTTCTCTTCCTCTTTCTTCGTTTCTTTTTCTTAAATCTTTCAAAAATAGCTTTTAATGTCAATGGTTTTGGTTCCATAGATGAATCACTTGATGAATCTGTAACACTTTCAGGTGAATGAACAAATTTTCTAGTAGGGTTTCTTTGCCTTCTTTTAGGTGGGGAAGTAACACACTGGGTTTTAAATAAGCTGCTACCAGATGAGGAGTCATCACTAGGAAAATGAAAAAATTCTGTTATAATGCTAATTACTCTTAATACTCAATCACACATGTGCTTTTCTTCTAGGATCAACTCAGGAAAACATTCTCAGAATACCTAAATATTTTCAGAAAGGTGCAGTACCAGCTAGTCACAGGTCCTGACAACCATATCTAAAATGGCATCTAAGGAGTGAATAAAGAAAATGTAGCAAATATATACAAAGGAGTATTACTCAGCCATAAAGAATGACTTAATGACATTTGCCTGCGAATGGATGAATCTGAAGACTATCATGCTAAGTGAAGTCAGTCAGTCCCCAAAAACCAAAGGCCAAATATTCTTTGATATGTGTAAGCTAACCCATAATATGGAGGTGGGGAATAGTGAGGGGTAGAATACAATAGATTAGACAATGGGGAAAGGAGGTGGGGATAGGCAAAGGAAAGACAGTGGAATGAATCTGACATAATTTTCCCAGATACATATATGAAAACAGTGAATCCCATCATAAGTCCATAGGAATGAGATTCTTAACTAGAATAAGATATAAATCCATGCTTGCACAATTATATCAACATGGATTCTGCTGTCGTATAACTAAAAAGAACCAATAAAAGTTGTCTGATTTGATGCTAGTGTCTCCTCTAAGCATACAATCTATTAGACAAAAACTGGACAATTCAGTCTGGAAGAGTTACCAAGAAAATACCATCTTCCTAAGCCAAGAATATATTATAGTATAATAGATTTTGAATCAAAGTACTTGCAATAATCCAATAAACCTGGAAGGTGTCATCTGTTTTCCTTTCCAATTCCTGAAATTATCTTAACCAATTATATACAATGATTTATACTTTCTTAGTAATTCAAACACTAAACATTTTGACTGAAACCACCATTCTCCCCAGAAAGTTCATTTACCTTTGGTTTTCAACTTCCACAGCTGCATCAGACACCAGACAGTCAAGGGAATCCATTCCTGATTTATCCATCACTTCTGTTTTGACTTAAAACTGTTCTCTGAAATTATGAAAATTCAGAAAATGTGATGCAGCTTCCCTAAGCAATAAAGGCTCACACAGCCAAGACATAGAAAGTTCAAGCAGTCAAGCCATGTCACTCTACATGAACCATGCAACTCTGTGAATTTAGGCAAAATAACTTCCTAAGCTTTTTAAGTTCTAGGAACAGCAATTTCTTTAAAAAACCTAGAAACTGCATTCACAGGTGCTTTCAGTTTTTACATGGTAATTAATGTGCAATTACTAATACTAATGTACAATCCAACGGCCAAATATATAATTTAAAATTCTTAAGCCTGAAATTTTCATTTACTCTGCCTTTTCATGTTCATCTCTGCATTCATATTGTCATATCTTTGATGCTGTCTTTGATATTATCTTATAATTGATGAAAACTAATTTTCAGCATGCTAAAAACTACACAGAAACTGCCTTGGTCACCATTTTCTAATAGTATACAATAAGCAATAAAATCTTTATAAGACTTAAGACGTAAGATGTGTCTATTTACTGCATCTCCCGTCTTTCATTTTTCATTGTATTATCTAGTTTACTTTAAAACTGACATGTAAGCCGTGATAAATAAGTTCTAGAATGATAAACCAGTAAACTATTTCAGGTATAAAATCTCAAATTTGTGAAATAAGACAGATCCATGTGACAGTTTTCCTAAATGCAAAATCCTGTCATTACATCAACTACTCAAAAATCAACATTTGCTCCAATAATATTGTTAGGGGAAGACAGATGAGGATGGTGAGAACGTAAGATTAAGAGAACAATTCTATAAAATGGGCCCACTTTCCTGTGCTGACCCCCACATGCTTCCTTTTCCCAAAAGTATTCAACCTGCAGCCTTGCCTGGCCTAAGTGGACAGTATTTCACATTCCTCAGAAAACTGTTATCTGCAAGGAAAGTCAGGAAATATCATTGATAAGAGGATTCCAAGTTGTTCTGGAGGGTGAGACTTTGTGACCCTTTTCAAGAACCAAATTGGTTTACAATAATTCCTTTTAACCATAAACCTGTAAAAATTGATTTGAGTTCTAATTAGAACTGCTCAGCTTGGGTCAAGGGAACCTAGAATTGTCACAGCAATAGGTAGTTGAAAGTCTGATGTCACCTTGCTGTAAAGTGGAGAGGTGGACCTGGGTAGGACAACTTCTCTGGGAACACTGTCCCTTCCTTTCCTCTCTTGAGAACTCTCTCCTCTAGGGGTCCGTTTATCTATCCCCTCAATAAACTCATGCCTGTTATTCTGAAAACATGTCTGAAATCTTTGACTTGATCGCAACAGTCGGAGTTTGAAGTGTAGGTCTTCTGGCTGCCTCAGTTTCTTGGAATGCCCCAGCTCTGTAACAGCATTAATGCGCCAGCTCAATTTTTTTGTAAATATTACTGAAATACAGATAGCTCCAAAATCACTTTTAAAAATCTATGTAGAAAGCATCCCTACTTAGTTGTCGCTTCCAAATGTGGGATTATTTTTTGGAGGCTACGTGGCCAAATAAGACACTTAACGAAACTAACTTGTACTTGGTACCTTGCGCTGAGAAGCTACAGGAAGCACCCAACCTAAGGCAAGAAAAATGGCGTCCACTAGGGTTAATTCACACAATAGTGACTAACCCTCTAAGATTTGCCTAGACGAGGTAACATCAATATTTTGACTCGGTGAACTACGCCGACACTATAATCGCGCTCACGAAGGTCTCAATCCAACCCCAAGGCCTGATTTCTGAGGCTAGATCCACAGCAACACGGCGTCCTGGGAAAACTACACCTGCAGCCCTTCACGCAGGCAAGGCCCGGACAGCCACCGCCTCTCCCCTACTTATCTACAACGCCCCCCCCCCTTCATCCATAAGCGCCGCGCTGTGGGCCTTGGGCCACATATGCGAGGCCTGCAACAGGGCACCGCGACTGACTTGCGCCATGAAACCCTGGCGGTTCGCGCCCATCAGCTTCCCCGCGCGGGAACCCCAGCACACATAAGCAGCTTACCATCTCCAACCGTATGGAAGAAAAAGAACTCGCCACTCTCGCGAGCTCCCTAAATGTTGGGCTGAATTCTCGCGTTACTACTTAGCTCTCGGGACGAAGAGAGTGCTGGGAAGACAGACGCGTCGGTGCACTTCCGACTCCCGCGAGGGGTGGAGCAATTGAAGCGGGCGGAGCCTAAACCCACTCAACCAGAGGAGGCGGGGTCGACCGAGGAGAGATCACCTAGGTCCGTGGGCTTCGCCCACAGTTTTGGTAAGTTTAATAGCCAAGAACATTTTAGCAAATAAGTTGTGAGGTCAAATGAACTGAATACATGTGAACAACGAGGAAGTGGGTGATTTGTTTCCGGTGAGCTTGCGTTTGCTGAAATGAGATTGTCTACTTTTGTCCTCAAACATGTCATCTGTGTTAAAATATTGGGAAAGGCTCATATTTTGATCTGACTCCAAATGTATAACATTTGTATTGAAAGCCAGTATTATTCCCTTAGTACACCCGCTTAACATCCCACTCATGTACACTTGCTACCACAGTACTTTTCTGCGCCTACCAGAAGTTCCATATTTTTAAACAAGTTATTCAGGCTGTAGCTTCCCAGGGTTAAACTTCTGTTTCTAATTCGGTAGGGAAATAATATGACAGATCTTCTTTTGAGATAGTAAAGGATATAAAGTTAGGATTATTTATTTGGATTTAACTTGAGTTCTTATTCCTACTGTAAGCAGAAGAATATAAAGTGCTTTTATTGCCAGATGTGGTGGTGCACAGCTATAATCCCAGCGATGTGGGAGGCAGAGGCAGGACCAACGCAGCCTCAACAACTTAGGCCCTAAGCAACTTAGTAAGACCCTATCTATAAATTGAAAAATAAAAAGGGCTGGGGATGTGGTTCAGTGATAAATCACCTCTGGTACCAAAATCTAAAAATGATAATAATAAAATGCTTTTATTATCCTCATTATAAATGAAAATGCTATTCATTGTACAGATTTTGATGTTTATAAATAAGTACATGCTAATTGCCTGATAGAGTGTGATAAAATTTAGGAAATCAGTGAAGACTACACAGTAATTATTTTCATAAAATATCTGTCAATCTATTTAATAAGAAAAAATTAAAATATCTTACTCTGAAATAATCATAGATTATTCAACTCAAAAACAGGTTTAAGATTTTAAGTATGATTATTAGAACTACTTGTCAACAGTTATGTATATTTAACTTGGGAGATTGGATTTTATTAAACAACTAAAGGACAGTAAAAATTAGTATTTGATAAATACTAAAGTAAATGTCTCCAGGCACAGTGGTGGAGCTTGTAGTCCCAGCTTTACAGAAGACTGAGGGGGGAGGATGACTGGAGCCCAGAAGTTCCAGGCCAGTATGGGCAACAAAGTGAGGCCCCCCATCTTTTTAAAAAAAAAGTAAATTTCAAGTCTTAAATATATGCAATAGCATGTTTATAGAGCATTTGTTTAGAAGTATCATCAAAACTAGAAAACCAGCTAGTTTCTATGAAATCTATGAATCTTTGGAAATTTTTAAAAATAAATTTTTGGAAAAGTAATTCAAATGATTCTGACTTTTCATATGCTAAGTAAGCATGTTAAAACCAGAGACATTCCAGTTAATGAGATGATCTATTAACAATTTTTTTTTTTTCTTAGTACTGAGGATTGAACCGAGGTTACTCTTCATGGAGCTACATCCCCATCCCTTTTTTTATTTTTATTTTGAGATAGGGTCTCCCTAAGTTGCCAAGGCTGGCCTCAAACTTAAAATCCTTCTACCTCAGCTTCCTGAATCGCTGGGATTATAGGCATGTGCTACCATGTCCTGCTCTATTAACAGGACATGGTTTTTGACCAACCGTTTATTGAGAACTAAAATACACAGGGGTCAGTTTGTAGCAAAGGGTACAAAGGAGAGAAGTACAGCTTTCCAGTGAAATAATGTATTGTCCTTAACTTCAGAGCCTTGTGAACAGGCCTTACATTTGTCTAATAAATGGCAATGAAGAATATTCTAAAAGAAAAAGAATAAAACAAACAATTCCAGCAGTGCTCTTAGAAATAGAAATCTGCTTAAGAGTTTTGTCCTTAATCCTTACTGTGATTGGTCTGGAGTAGGATTCTCCACCCACTTTGTCATCATCGTCTTTTTTTTTTTTTCCTTTTCTGCCTTCATTTTATTTATCTCCCTCTACTTGCACACATCATCACTTGAACATTTAAGGTAAGATACTAATCTCTGTAAATGTATACCTATTTATTGTAAGTTATACTAAGCATGTATTTTAAAATATCTAGGTTATCAGAATCATTGAACATGAAAACTACTTACCAAGAAAGTGTTTATTTTTGAACAAACTAAAATTTAAATTTCAGAATCTAATCGTCTATGTTTCCATTCTACTAATGATTTAAATCTTCTTTTGTAAAAATGATAGCCTAAGAAATTTAATTTTTAGCTTAAATGTCAAAATAGAGTAAGAAACACATTATAGAAATATTTATATGTGTATTTTATATGCTAGCTATATATCATATATATGTTACGTAGTTATATAGACTCCAGTACTGTTATCTACAGCCATTTAGACACTTATTCACAATCCTTAATAAGTGCCTTTTGCTTCAAGATCCATATTCCTTTGACCAACCATTAGAAAATTACATGTTCAACCCAGATAGATGACCAATAAAAAGAGTCATATATATCTTCTTATATTGGTGTTTCCTCTTATTAGTCTATTTTAAATGCCAACTATTTAAAACTATTGGGCTAAAAATATAGACAATCTTAGCATAGAGTTCTTGCCTAGCATGCATGAAGCCCTGAGTTCAATTTCCAGCTCTGCAAAAAAATAAAATAACAGGATTAAAAGAGGCCACTTACCCATTGTTCACTTGGAATATTAAATGCTAGAACTGTGGTTTCCTTTCTGTAAGGACAGAAAAGCCAAAATGCCCTTTGCCCTCATTATATAACTGAACTCTTAATGTTCACTTTCAGAACGGCAGGCACTGTTCACATCTGGTGCACTGTGAACTCTTGTGATAACTGGCCAACAGGAGCTTTGATTGTACAACCTTATACCTAAAGAAGAAAGAAAATGGCTCATTCTGAGTTTTCTTTTCATGTGCCAAGTCTAGAGGAACTTGCTGAAGGTAAAAACAATATTAACTTTGGATTTTTAAGAACTATTTTAAGAGAAAAAAGATTTTAAGATTTATATGTATCTTACTAATGTTTATCTTGTTGAAATGGTACTTCTGATACAGAATTTGCCATTTCAATATCTATTCTGTACTGTTTTTATTGAGAAACGCTTAAATTATGTCCCCTAACAAAATTAAACTCACCATTTGTAGATTCTTGATGACACCAACTTCACATGATGAAATTGACTAAAGTAACCCAAAATTTAAGTACATATTATGTCCAGAGTTGTACAACTTTGCTTTATTACCTTTTTACCAGTTACAATTTTTGAGTGCGGGGGCGGTGCTGGATATTGAACCAAGGAGTATTTTACCTCTAATCTACATCCCCATCACGTTTTATTTTTTATTTTGAGATAGGGTCTTGCTAAGTTGCTTGGGGCTTTGCTGAATTTCTGAGGCTATCTTGAAATTTGTGATCCTCCTGCCTCAGCTTCCCAAGTTAACAGGATTACACCACACCTGGCCAAAATACCTTAGTTAGAGGCTAGGTTCTGCTGCTCCTTGTGTTGCACAAATATTTGGATTCAAATTGTTAGGAAATAGGTTTTATTCAAAGTGAGCTTTAAATGGAGATAAAAGAAACTTTGTTTCAAATTTCTATCTTTACAAAACTTTTTTTTTTTTTTTTTTAGTTTTGGGGATTGAACCCAGGGGCACTTAATCACTGAGCCATATCTCCAGCCCTTTTTAATTTTTATTTTGAGACAGGGTTTCACTAAGATGTTTAGGACCTAACTAAGTTGCCAATGTTGGGATCCAGAAATGCTTTTAAAAGAAAAAAGGTGGGTCAGGCACTGAGGCACATGCCTACAATTCCAGCAGTTTGGGAGCTGAGGCAGGAGTATTACAAATTTTAGGCCAGCCCTGGCAATTTAGCTAAATCCTGTCTCAAAGTAGAAAATAAAAAGGCTTAGGGATATAAACAGTTAAAGCACCCCTGGGTTTGATCCCCATCCAGTATTAAAAACAAGAGAGAGAAAAGAAGTAACAAAAGGCAAAAAAAATAGACGTGTAGATTTAGTTATCCTGTGAGACAGAGAACATGTTAGGGGTGTCAGGCCAGGACAGGGGGGCAATCTCCACTCATAGCTTCCTTAGCATCCCCCAGGCCAGGGGGCACAGCTCTCCAGCTTTTACTCTCAGTTTGAGGAAATACAGAGGCAGAAAAATATATTAGAAACTTGCTTTAATTTCAGAGGAGTCCTTAATTGCAGTATTTCATTTTGATCCTTAAAAATACATTGCTCCCAATGCGATGGTGCACACCTGTAATCCCAGCAGCTCAAAAGAGAATTGCGAGTACAAAGCCAGCCTCACCAAAGGCAAAGTGCTAAGCAACTCAGTGAGACCCTGTCTAAATAAAATACAAAATAGGGCTAGGGCACTATTCAGTGGTCGAGTGTCCCTGAGTTCAATCCCTGGTACTGAAAAAAAAAGTACATTGCTCTTTGGATTTATAACTGTGACACCTATTCTGTTTTACATTTGTAGTATGACATATCTACAAGAAAGTGCACTTATCTTGAGGTATAGCTTATTTAATGTTTACATGTAACTGCTGTCCAAATCAAAATCTAAAATGTTTTTCATATCCCAAAAGACTCCTTCATGGAGCTTCCCAATGTCTTTATCCTGAGAGGTAACCACTGTTTTTACTTTTATCACCATGGATCAGTTGCCTATTTGAAATACATAAAGTTAAATCATACAGTCTTTACTCTTGTTGTGTCTGGCTTCTTTTGCTCAACATTTTGTCTGTAGTCTTCCTTGTGTTGCATGTGATTGCCTACTTTTTAAAGAGTTTAAATATTTACACTTTAATAAGTTTTTGGAATCTCCCTTAAAGAAAGGTGGTCCTCACCTGAGTGTAGTCTTTTTATCTTCAGAAGTTTATAATCACCGTGGATAAGATTATGTTTGTGTCTTATATTATAACTTCGGATTATGTCAAAGTCTAAGTTTCATAAGTAAGACTATTTCTTGGTTGATGGTATAGCCCAGTGGTAGAGCCTGTGCTTAGCATGCCTGAGGCCCAGGGTTCAATCCCTAGGACCTGAAAAAATAAAAATAGAAGACCATTTCTGCACTCTTTTTTTATTACACAAGTTTAGGTTAGGAGTGTGATGCAGAAAATTTGAAGGAAAATTTGATATATGATGGCCAAATTTTTCCCTAATGTTAAATAACCCTTTTTCTTCTCTTTATTAGTTATCCAGAAGGGACTAAAAGATAACTTTGCTGATGTCCAAGTGTCTGTAGTTGATTGCCCTGATTTGACTAAGGAACCATTTACCTTTCCTGTAAAAGGTAAGCAGTTTTTGCAATATGCTTCTGGTTTTTACTTGTAATCATTTTTTTGAAACCAGTGTTATTTTTATCTATGAATAAAGGATATTTTCATAGCTTTTAGGCTAAATTGTGCATAATTTTTGTGCTCTTGTTTTTTGGTGTTGGTAAAATTTCATTTTGTAACCTTGTGGAAAAAGATTGTATTTTGTAATTTTTGTAACTTCCTTGGTTATATAATATACAATAGGCTAGAATATTGGTAACACATGAGAGTTTTGTTCAAATTACTGTTAGGGAAACTTACTTTAATTTTTGTTTTTATTTATTTATTCAGGACCAGAAATAATCTTAAAAGGCTTATTTAATGTTTGGTATAAGTACTAGGTCCAGTAGATGTGAAAACTGAGGTTGAGAGAGAGTAAACTCTGTGTGAATCATAATCAGGATTTGAATGCAGGTCTGTATGCTTTAGAAATCTAAACTTCTCCTAATATAACCTACTATATGAGGAATTTGGAGATAATACAGTGTTGTTTTACTATGAAATTGATATCTTTGTTAAAAAATAGTTTGCCATAGAATTCCTGAACTCTAGTTCTGTCTCTACCACATAAGAATTTAATTAACCTGAGTAAACCATTTAATTTATCTCAGCCTCAGATACATGAACATAAGGGGACTTTAGTTGAATGTTCTTGTTGGGTCTTTTCACTTTAAGCAGTCTTTAACTAGAACTGTAAACTCCAGCAGGTTTGTTTCCAAATGGCAATTTCTCTTAGCACTGTGAAATCATTCACAATATTTTTGGATAGCCATATTTCTTCTATAGGAAGGAGTGATATATTCTCCTTACTAGTTAATTAATTAAAATAAAATAAAAATCAGAAAACATAGAAGAATACAGGGAAGAAAAAAACGGTTAATCTTAATTGTGTCTTCCAAAGGCTATACCTGGAAAAAACTTCTGATCAATCATATGAGAGTCAGGAAATGATAGTACTGGAAGCCAGGGGTGTGTGTGTGTGTGTGAGAGAGAGAGAGAGAGAGAGAGAGAGAGAGAGAGAGAGAGAGAGAGAGAGAGATCTTTCTCAAACATGGTTAGATATTTTCTATGTGAATTGGTCTCACTCAGGTCACTGATAGCCTTGGTTTGTTTATGAGTATTACTTCATCTCTACATATTTCATAGTTTCATAGTTTGGCCATCACTGCCTGACATTTTCCCTTTAGTGATCTCTCCTCTCTCTCTGGTTTCTCTTGTTGTGTCTGGCATCTTTTGCTCAACATTTTTTTCTCTTCTTCCTTGGTTCCTACCTCCTTCCTTATTTTTTCCTAGCTCCTTTCTCTTTATAGCAGGCTCTTAAGTATTGATATTTGCCAGAATTGTTTCTTATCATCTTATTTTGTGTACTCTCTCGAGTTTTTTTTTTTTTTTGTGTGTGTGTGTGTGTGTACTCACTTGTGGTTTTAATTACCGACTAGATACAATGAAATCTGTTCCACCCAGATATCTACAGATCAGTATTTCTACTGCCAGTAGAACATATCCTCCTATATATATTAAGGACAAGTCAACACATCTAAAATTTAACTCATTACTTCACTCTAGATGCTTATTTCCTTTCTTCTTTCTATATTTTCCTTTTCTCCATCTCTACAGTCTCCATTTTGAGCTATTATTTGTCTTTTCCCTGGACTATAAATAGAGTCACCTAATTGTTCCTTTAGGCTTCACCTTCACTATCACTTATGAGTAGAGTCTTATCTATTCATAAGCTCTGCTTATTCGTGAAAAACATTTCCTATATCCCCAACTACAAAAGGGACCTATAAAATTCTACATCTACCCCTCTGCATAGCTGAAGAAATAGAGCAATCATATCTACTTTACTATGTAATATGTGAGCAGGAAACTGTCAAGACCACTTTTTCGCAAACAAAAGGTAGTTTATTTTCTACCCTACACTTAAAAGAAAAGTGCCTTCTCCTAAATTGTGTCTACATATTTCATAGTTTGGCCATCACTGCCTGAGTGACTAGGTTAAACCTCAGATGAATCCACAGCCTTGTACTTTGATGATAATTAAAAATGTAGGAAGACTGGGGTGTAGTTCATTGGTAGAGTGTGTTCTAAGTAGGCATAAGGCCTTGGGTTCAATCCTCAGCACCAGAAAAGAAAAAAAAAATCTAAGTAGAAAATATCTAGCACCTAAAGTTATCTTTAATTACTTATCATGAGTATAAACAATCTTGGGAATAAGTAATTTATAAGAGAATCTTGCAATATGGACCTAAAGAACATATATTCTACCAGAGAAAAATGTTTTAAATTTTAAAAAGATTTTAACCATAAATAAAAATAAAAAGACAAGAGATCAAACAGCCACTAAAAAATAGTTTTTAAAGGTTTAAGACTAATTTGAGAAACCTCACCCAATCCAAACTTTGACTCCAATTCTAGCCCTCACCCTATCATCAACTTTCAGTTGCCTTTATGCTGTCACCTCTATCAAGCCATACTTAGTCATGATGGTATTGGAAACACAGGTACTTAAAATAGAACAGGAGTACTAGCTACTTATATCTTCTAAACCTGCTATTTGCAAAACTATGAGACTAAAGAAATTATTTATTCTTAATAATTTGATGACTTCCATCTTTTTATATGTAAATTATATTTGCCTATTTTTAAGATGGCTTGTGTTTTTTAGGCATCTGTGGGAAAACTAGAATTGCAGAAGTAGGAGGTGTGCCTTACTTAATTCCTCTTGTAAACAAAAAGAAAGTAAGTGTATTTTACTCTTCATATTCATATGAAGGTTGTAGAACTTGGTTGATTCATATTTATTATCAGAAGACCTGTTGATCAATGTGGCAGGGATAGAAATACTAATGGACTCAGTAATAAAAAAAAAAAAACAGGAAATTTTTATAAGTTAAGATTTAAATAATTTTCTTCTTCTTTTTAGGTTTATGATCTGAATATAATTGCAAAAGAAATCAACTTGCCTGGAGCCTTTATTCTTGGAGCAGGGGCAGGCCCATTTCAGACTCTTGGGTTCAATTCTGAGGTAAGCTTATATATAATTATTTTATTTTATTGATTTGACTTTTGGTTTGTCCTTTTCCATTTAATTTCCTACCAAAAAAGCCCACTTTCTGAGTGTTGTGGGTGGTAGATATCATATCTCTCCAGATTGGCACTGCTTGATATGGATTTGGACAATATCACATGTTCTAATTGATCTAGCTATAAAGAAACACTAATCTTTAGTTTCAGTTTCTCTTAGGGACTAGGTTAAACCTCAGATGAATCCACAGTCCTAAGGTATCCTGCTGAAGGCCTTGAAATGTAAAAGATTTTTATCATTATGTATTTTTAAACATTTTTTTGGTTGTAGACAGACACAATATCTTTGTTTGATTTAATTTATTTATGAGTGCTGAGGATTGAACCCAGTGCCTCATGCATGCAAGGCAAGCACTCAACTACTAAGCTACAACCCCAGCCCTAGATTTTTATCATTATATATTATAGGATTCCATGCTTCTCTATAAATCTTTGCTTTTGATATAAAGGCAGTTTTGGATTAGAAGAGTGGAATATTTCATGATGTAGTCACCTCTTTACAAATAGTAGGAAACTATTAAAATAGTATGATGGTTATTTATCAAAGTTAATAGCTCTTACTAGTGTATGTCATTTATGCTGAATAATGTTAATCACTATTAATACTATTAATATTATAATATATTATTACTTAGTATAGGTGATATATACCAGTAATATATAATATATAATACTTGTTTGTGTAATCTTAAAATATCACTATTACTTCATATATCCTGACTACAAGGCTAAATGACCTCTTTCGTCTGTCCATAATAGATGTGACTCTTAGTAGTCATACAAGTTCCAGTATGTAAGATAGAAAAAAGGGTTAAAATTTTAAGTTGAACATTTTCAAGCGAATATTCCAATTTATATCAACAATATAACAAATATTGTAGACATTTTATAAAGTATCTTTTCCAGTGTTTTGTATTTAAAATTAGATGCTTCATATCCCCACATTTTGGGGAAGTATGTTTCTTTCTTTTGTGTGTGTGTGTGTGTGTGTGTGTGTTTCTGGAGACTAATCATGTATTCTCATTAAAATTTGAAATGAATGTCTTAAAGTCTGAGATAAAATATGTTGTTACATGACTCAAGATACCCTCTATGCACAGAGATACTAAGATTGACTAATTTTTTTTTTTAGTTTATGCCAGTTATTCAAACAGAAAGTGAACACAACCCTCCTGTGAATGGAAGTTACTTTGCTCGTATTAACCCTGCAGATGGAGGATGCCTATTACAGAAATACAGCCAGAAATACCATGATTTTGGATGTGCATTACTGGCTAATCTTTTTGCCAGCGAGGGCCAACCTGGCAAGGTGATTTTGTCTATAAAAACACAGAAGTCTTTAAATGTTCTCAGATAGCTAAAAATTAGAATTTTTATTGCCCTAAGTATGGTTTTTCTAAGAAAATCAGAGGTACTACAGTCAAAGGTCTTTATTTAACCCAGTTATGAAAGATTCAGAATAGTATAGGCAGAGTAAAAGTCTTATCTAAAATCAATGTTAATAAATATTTAATAGGCAATACCTTTTTCTAACTAATTTGGGAAGTGAGTCATTTATATGAACTTTGTGGCTAAATAAATAATATCTACTTACAGGTATTAAATAGGAAATTCGCTTATTCCTGACTGGTAACATGTTGTGTTAGATAGAAATGGGGGTAGCAAAACATTAGAGCGAAAGAAGGATAAGGATAATTAATGTCTCACTTCATATTTTCTTTTCTAATATTTTTTAAATTGTCGATGGCCCTTTATTTTATTTATTAATTTATTTATATGTGGTGCTGAGAATCTAACCCAGTGCCTCACACATGCTAGACAAGCACTCTACCACTGAGCCACAATCCCAGCCCCTCACTTCATATTTTCTTTTGATTAGTGCACAAAAAAATGATTTCAGTGTTGGTATTTGTGAGGACTCTCAGATTTTGTAAGATATAGCCACCCCAATTACTTTGAGAAATGAGGTAGTGAAGTAAAAATACCTAATAAAATAGAGAAAACAAAGTCCAGTATTTTACAGGAAGTGAGAAAATTTAATCATTTTTCCTTTACCCCATTTACCAGAGGTTAAACCCTTCAAGCTAGGGAATTCTCAGCCTTTTATCCCCTTGACATATATGTTAAGAGTCTCTACAGTTCAGTGTAGCACTTAATTCAAGAAAATATGAATTTATTTATATTATTATTATTATTAACTTATTTATTTATTAAAGTTATATATAATAATGTGTGTGTGTGTGTGTGTGTGTATAATATACATATGGTTGATGAAGACTCAGGGGATTGAGACACCTCAGCTTACATTTGGATATACTAAGCAAACAGAATATTGCTTGATGGTATTAAGTTATACCATGTTATATTTAGTAATTAAATAAAATTTTACAGCTTATCCAATATAATGTATATTTATATCTTCTATAGGTCATTGAGGTAAAAGCCAAACGAAGAACTGGACAACTTAACTTTGTGACTTGTATGAGACAAACTCTGGAAAAACAATATGGAGACAAGCCTGTAGGGATGGGAGGTACTTTTATAGTTCAGAAGGGAAAAGTAAAGGCTCACATTATGGTAAGGGCCTATGTATGTATACTCTTATGTATGGATATATACATGTGCACATGCTTAAATTAATATCTCAGAATTTTTAAATACATTGGGAATTCTACCTTTAAATATACCCTAAACAAATCCTTTTGTTGTGAGTATATTACTTAAAAGTTTAAATGACAATACTGTAAGTCATAATACTAAATAATGATGAGGTAAAGTTCTTTTTTCACATTACTGTATTGGAACTTTTTTTTCAATGTGCTTGTTTGTAAGATCGAGATTTTTTTTTTCTTCTTTTTGAGGTACTGGGGATTTAAACTCAGGGATGCTCTACCACTGAGTGACATCCCAGATCTTTAAAAAAAAAAAATTTTTTTGAAACAGAGTCTTGCAAAATTGCCTAGGCTGGTCTTAAACTTGGAATACTGCTATTTCAACCTCCTTAGTCATTGGGATTACAGGCATGCACAACTACACTTAGCTATTTATTTTGCTGTTGTTGACTATGCTTTTGGTGTCATAGCTAAGAAATCATGACAAAACCCAATGTCATGAAATTTTCCACTGTTTTCTCCTAAAAGTTTTAGCTCTTACATTCAGATCTTTGATCCATTTGAATTAATTTTTATATTTGGTATAAGGTAAGTGTCAAACTTCATTCTTTTTTTTGTACCAGGGATTGAACCCAGGGGTACTTTTCCACTGAGCCATTTCCCCACCATTTTTTTTTTAAAAAAAAAACAACATATATTTTATTTAGAAACAGGGTCTCACTGAGTTGCTTCGGGCTTTGCTAGGTTCCTAAGGCTGGCTTTGAACTCACAATCCTGCTGTCTCAGCCTCCCAAGCCACTGGGATTACAGGCATGCTCCACCAACTTCATTCTTTTACATGTGGATATGTAGTTTTCCCAGCAACATTTGTTGAAAAGACTGTTGTTTTCTCATTGAATATTATTGGCATCCTTGTTAAATCATTTGACCCTATATTCAAGGATTTATTTCTGGCCTCTCTAGTCCGTTGATCTGGCTGTCTGTCTTTATGCAGTAATGCAGTTTTGATTACTGAGGCTTTGTAGTTTGCTTGTTTGTAGTACTGGAAATTGAACCTAAAGTCCCTCTGTTGCTGAGCCATGCTTCCAACCCTTCTTTGTTTTATTTTGAGACAGTCTTGCTAAAAAGCAGGGGCTGGTCTTGAACTTTGAATCTTCCTGGCCCAGCCTCCAGAGTTGCTGGGACTATAGGTGGGTGCCACCATATGCAACTTGGAATAACTTTTGAAACCAAGAATGTGAGATCTCTAATTTTTTTCAAGTTTGTTTTTAAAAAATGGGGTTTTTTTGGGGGGGGAAACAGTCTTGCTTATGTTGTGTAGGGTGGCCTTGAATTTGCCATATTCCTGCCTCTGGCTCCAAAGTAGGTGCAATATTACAGGCATGCACGTGTATCACTGAACCAGGCTAGTATTGATTTCTTCTAAGTATCCAATTCCTAAACACAGGATGCCTTTCTATTAATTGGAATCTTCTTTAATTCAGCAAAAATTTGTAGTTTTCAGTATACAAGTCTTTTACCTTCTTGGTTAAGTTTATTTCAAAGTATTTTATTCTTTTTTGATGCTTCTACCCAATTTTAGTGTCTTGCTTTCCTCACCCCTTGTTACTTAATAATCATGGCATTTAAGATTAGGATGGTGGGGCTGGGGTTATAGCTCAGTGATAGAGTACTTGTTGGGATCAATCTCAATCCCCACCCAGCACCATACACACACACACACACAAAAAAAAAGAAAGAAAGAAGGAAAGAAAGGAAATATATACTCAGGAAAACTTAAAAATAAAACTAGGAGGTTGAAAGTATGGCTCAGTGATAGACAGAGCACTTACCTAACTTGTCTAGAATGTGCAAGTCTCTGGGTTTGATCCCTGATTTTAACAACAACAACAAAAAGATACTAAATGCTAAGTGAAATAAGCCAGTCCTCAAATACCAAAGGCCAGATGTTCTCTCTGACATATGAATCCTAACACACAATGAGGGTGGGGGGATAAAAGTCCATTGGATTAAACAATGAGGAATGAAGAGAAAGGAGGGGGCATGGGATTAGAAAAGACAGTAGAATAAATCAGACATAATTTTCCTATGTTCATATATGAATACATGACCAGTGAAATTCCATATCACGTTCAGCCATGAGAACAGGATCTTAATTAGGATGTTATACTCTATGTATAATGTGTCAAAATACACTCTATTATCATGTATACCTAAAAGAACAAATAATAAAAAAATAGTCAATGGTCAACTCTCATCCTTTTTTTACCTTTATTCATTCCTAAATTTTAGTTTGTACAACTGGTTACCCTTTGGAAAACTAGAGTATTTTATTTAACTGATGCCAAAAGCAATGGAATTATAAGAAGGCTTAAAAATTTTAACTTAATGAAATCATGTTTTTAAATTTTTAAATTCTAAATAATATTCAATATGTTTACCTGTTTAATGGTGTTTTATTGTAGCCTGCAGAATTTTCTTCCTGCCCATTGAACTCTGATGAAGAAGTGAATAAATGGTTGCATTTTTATGAGATGAATGCTCCTTTGGTTTGTCTACCAGTTTTTGTTTCCAGAGACCCAGTAAGTCCTTGTTTATCTTTAACATTACAATTATAATGCTTGAATTTTAGAATATTCCTTTAGACTTATGTACCTTTTGGGTTCTTGTTATCTAAGAACCAGGTTGTCTATAAAATTATCTTGAAAATTAAGGGCGAAGGTGGCTTACCACCCTATGTTAGCCAGAGCAGGATTTTTCCAGGGATGGAACCCAGGGGCACTTAAACACTGAGCCACATCCCAGCCCTTTTTATTTTGAGGCAGGGTCTCACAAAGTTGCCTAGGGCATCACTAAGTTGTTGAGGCTGGCCTCCAACTTGCAATCCTCCTGTCTCAGCCTCCCAAGTCACTGATATTGTAGGTGTACGCCACCATGCCTCATAAAGGTGTTTTAATAGCACCTAAAGTCTTGCTATTAAATAGAATAGCAAGAATCACAACTAAGATTCAGGTCTCCTATCATGTTCTTTGGTGTTCTAATACTACACACTGGAAAAAATTAATATAGACTGATTCAAAGCCAAGTATCTATAAAAATACTGATTGGTCATATATTTTGATCCAATATGATTACATATCTAGGATTTAATCTTTAAATATATGCTGTGTAAAATGGTTAATTAAAAGGTTATTAATAACAACATTGTTATAATAGCACAAGATTTGGAAATAATGTAAATGTCAGTTGAAAAGTAACAAAATAAGGAAGCTCTTATGGTCTGATAGACATTATGTCAAAGCTATATTGTTAAGTGAAAAAAGCAATAGCAGAAAGGTGCACAGAGAGCTACAATTTGAGTGAAAAAAGTAAAAGTAAATATTTCTGGAAGGATACACATGAATCTGTTTCCATTTTTGCCTGTAAGGAAAGGAAATAACCAGTGAGGATAAGAGAGAAGAAGACACATTTAATTGAATATATCCTTTTGCATGCTTTGATTTGAAATCATGTGAATGTAATGCCTATCTAAAATATAAAAACAGGTCTGGGTATTGTGGCACATGCCTATAATTCCAGCAACTCAGGAGGCTAAGGTGGGGGATCATGAGTTTAAGGTCAGCCTGAGCAACACAGCAAGACCCCATCTCAAAAACAGAAAAAACTAGTCCAAGCACCTTGAGAGACAAAGGGAGGAGGAACACAAATTCAAGATGAGACTCAACAATTTAATGAGACCTTGTCTCAAAATAAAAAAAATAAAAAGGGCTGGGAGTGTAGCTGAGTGGTAGAGTGTCACTACCACAAAATTAGAAAGAAAAAACAAAACAACAAAAAAACATGAGCTAGGTATATAGCTTGGTGATAGAGCACTTGCCCAGCATGCAGGAGGTCCTGGGTTTCCTTGGCACTACAAAAAATAAATACATAAATAAGGAAATAAAAACTTTGTAATATAAATTAAAAAATTTATCCTCACTCATTAAACAAATTCTCATCAAAATAATTTGAGTATATACTAACTTTTCTGTTGCCCTAGGGATTTGATTTGCGACTGGAACACACTCATTTTTTTAGTCATCATGGAGAAGGTGGACACTATCATTATGACACGACTCCAGATATAGTGGAATATCTTGGATACTTCTTACCTGCAGAGTTTCTCTACCGCATTGATCAACCAAGAGAGACCCATTCAGTTGGACGAGATTAAATCATCTTATGCTTAACAAAAATAAATAAGTTAATTAATTAATTCATTACTAATATAAAATCCAATAGAAATTATCTCATCACTTAAAACCCTTTTTTTGTCTTTGAAATGACACTGTATTCTATATTATTTCAAGGTATATATCTGAGAGAGATTATTGGGAACAGAGATACATTTGAGATGGTCTTTTTTTTGTAATGCTCACATAAATTTATTGAGCCAACCTCATTTTTTTAAAATTCTATAATATCAAGCAAAGTCTATCATATGTTTATATCTCAAATATAAATATGATTAGGAATCATGATTATTCCTACTAATAGCATTAACTTACATTTGTATAATGTTCATTTTTTCAAATTAAGTCTTAAAACTGCTAAATAGATTATTTCTAGGCATTAGCAAAATCAGTTTAGAAATGTTGATGGTTAAAGCCAGGCATGGTAGCACATGTCTATAATCCCAATAACTTGGGAAGCTGAGGTAGGAGGATCGCAAGTTCAAAGCCAGCCTCAGCAACTTACAGAGGCCTTTGAGCAACTTAACAAAACCCTGTCTCAAAATAAAAAATACAAAGGGCTGGGATGTAGCTCAGTGGTTAAGCACTACTGGGTTTAACCCTGGTACCAAAAAAGAAAGAAAGAAATGCTTATGGTTGAATCTTTGTATTGAATTTTAAAAATCCATTCCAGAAATCAGAGTATAATTTTTTTTTCATGGAACAAGGTAAACAAAGTAAGCCCTTCATCTTTTTCATGAAGTTAAACCATACTCAGAAGTTTGCAATTTGCCTTTCACAAACATTAGTTAGCAACAAAATGGTTAGCCATGATTCTTCCCTTGTTCTGATTGCCATGTGGAAGCAGTTTGTTGGTTATTTGCAGTAAGAGAAAGGAAAAGAAACAGCATCAAAATACAAAATTTATGTGAGCATACTTTAATTTTCAATAAGGCTACTGCTGAAAGTGACTAATGCCCTTCATGAAATATAAAATTATATTCAATTACTGATTATATGGTTGCCTTTGATATTCTCCTATAATAATCATTACCTAGAAGATCAACTCTCCATTCTTGCTAATGCCAAAAATGTGCAAATTTAGGTGCTTTAATTTAGTACTAAGCACACTTCAAATAATATTTTGGACTGTTTATTTTCAGTTTTAGCTGTAACATGTGAGTATAAATCTGTGCTATTTTTAAATAAGCACTATTTTGAAGCAATGAAATTAATAAAGAAATAAAAAGAAATTAATAAAAATTTTGTATTGATAATGTCCTTTTAATCTTTCCTCCATTGAAAAATACTATTTTTTTAGTTTTCAACCTGTATTTCATTGCATGCTTTTGCATTCCCAATCAAACCAATGAACTCTTTTTTTTTTTTTACTGTTGCATATTAATTATACAAAATAGTGGGTTGTATGTATTGTGGTATATTTTTACATGCATATAACCATAATTTGATCAATTTAATTTTCCAGTATCTACACTTTCCTCTCCCCTCTTTCTCTCTGGTTCCCTTACCCTAATGGATCTAATGGCCTCCCTTCTATTTTTACAAGATCCCCTTTTCTCCTCCTTTATTAGCTTCCACATATGAGAGAAACATGACATATGACACTGGTATGAAATCTGTCTTTCATTTAACATGATGGTGTCTAGGTTCATCCATTTTCTAGCAAATGACACAATTTTATCTGTTTTTATGGCTAAATAAATTAAACTCCATTATGTATAAATATCATATTTTCTTACCATTTTTCTGGTGACAGATACCTAGGCTGACTCCATTACTTAACTATTATGAACTGTGCTGCTGTAAACATGGGAATGCATGTATGTCTAAAGTGTGCTATCCTCAATCCTTTTGGATAAATATGAAGCAGTGGTTATAGCTGAATCATATAATAGTTCCATATTTAGTTTTTTTGAGAAAACTCCAAACTGATTTCCATAGTGGCTGTAGTAATTATATTCCCACCAACAGTATAAGTGAGACAGGAAGATAGCTTTCCCCCACACCACAGATAGCTGGGAAAAGTGTATAAGAGAAGAAAAGGAGGAAGAAAGGACTGGGAAGCTTGCTACCCCAGCTGGTCCTAGCCACAAGCACAGTTCCTTAACAGCCCCTAGCAATGATCAACAGCAAAATGTTCTCTAAAGCACTTCCTCTTGAACCAACAAATCCTCACCACCATCCTTTTGCTAATAAAGACTCAGAAATCACTTTTCTCCAGATTTGCTGAAGACGACAATTAGAGCTTATTGGCCTCTTTCTGTCATCCCACCAATCGCCTCTAGGTATAGATCAAGCCAATTAAAAACCCCTAGACAATAGACACCTGTTGGCAACCCTCTCTTGGGACCCCACCCTCTTCAGAAGCTCTGCTTTCTATCACTCTGATAAATCTTATTACTTTACTCTCACCCTGTGTCTTTGGGTTTCATTCTTCAAATTCATGAGACAAAAAACCCACCTGACCACCATGGTCCATGATACATAGGATTCCATTTTCCCCATATCCTTGCCAGCATTTATTTGTACTTTTGATTAGTATTTTTTAATAAATTTGTATTGAACACTTACTCTGTACTCTGAAATGTAAACTACATGATCCTAAGATGTTTGTTTACTACTATAGCACTAGTGCCCTTAATAGTGCCTGGTTGTTATGGTTTGGTTGTGAGATGTCCTCCAAAAGCTCCTGTATTAATGCACGAATGTTTGAAAGTGAGATGATTGGATTGTGACAGCAATAACCTAATGAGTTCATCCTAGTTTGAATGAACTAAATGAGTGGTAAATGTAGTCAGCTGGCGAGTGGCTGGAGGAGGTGGGTCATTGGCTGTGTGACCTGCAAGGGTGGTTCTTTCTTTGGGGGCCTTGTCTTTCCCTCTCCCTGATTCCTGGTCTCCTTGAACAGAACAGTGCTCCTCTCCCACACCCTTTGGCCACAATTTCCTATCTTACTTTGGGTCCAGAGAAGTGGGACTATGTACTAAACCTTTGTTAACTATGAGCCAAAATAAACTTTCCTTCATCTTAGGTTGTTCTTGATGGATGTTTTGATCACAGTGATATAAACCTATTACACTGGCCAATAAATATTTGTTGAATAATGAGTGAGTGAATGATTATGCCAGACACTTCACTAGACATTGAGGATTTGTCTAGTCGGGGAAGACAGACAAATGTATGCCAGGTAGTATTAAGTGCTACAAAGAAAATTAAAATGGGGTGTATTGTAAAGAAGGATTTTTTTTTTTTGTTCCAGGGATTAAACCCAAGGGCGCTTAACCACTAAGCCACATCCCTACCTCTTCTTATTTTTCAATTTCAAGACAGGATCTCATTAGGTTGATCCTCCTACTTCAGCCTCTGGAGCTGCTGGGATTACAGGTGTGTGCCACAAAGGAGGACACTTGTGGCCCTCTGAACAGGATGGACTCCCTACCCTAATTTGTTTTAGATGTCAAGTTGAAAGGGTTTATTCCTCACAAAATGAAGTTTTTCAAAGAAAAAGAGCAGGGACGCTTCTAAGCAGGTCTAAAATTGACCTGACACAAAGGGAAAAGAAACTGGCTTGGGTTTTTGCTGACTGAGGGTAATTCCAGTGTGATAGTTCCTACATGACATTTGAATTTCCCACAGGGTGTCAAAGAAGGGCGCATTCAGGCTATCTTAGCTTGCCAAAATGTGGGTAGGAGAGGAAGAGGGGAGGGAATAAGGTTTAAAAGCTGTCAGCAGTCAAACATCGAAAATGGAATCCAACCCTTTATTAAGTTTTTATATTGGAGGATCTGGGAAAAAAAACCTCTCAAGAGACATTTTAGCAAAAACTTGAAAGAATTGGAATGATCTATGAAGGTATTTGATAAGCATCCTTCCTGGCAAATTCAAAGGCCCAGTGGCAAGAGAGGAGTTGGTATGTTCAAGAAACAGCAACGAGGCATTGTGAACAAAACAGGATCACCTGAATGTATGCAGTTAAGATTCTACTGCATGCAAAAAAAAAAAAGCTCTGTATTAGGTAACTTCTTATGAAGAAAATTATAAAGCTACTGGAAATTTACAGAAAACTCAAATAGTTACATTCATATCTAGAAAGATAACAGTCTCAGAGAAGTATCAATACTTAAATCTATTATTCAATGCTGGTATAATCCCACTAGTGTTTTCCATAGAACCTCATCAGTTGATTCTAAAATATATGAGCTAGCAAAGGGCCAAGATAAGCAAAACTAATTTTGAAGACAAGATCAGGGAGGATTTGATATAAAAATATCAAAACTTACTATAAACTCGTAAGGTGTGGTTTTGGTAGTGATGGACACTCAAACCAAAAAAAAAAAATCTTTCCATATGGAGACATAATTTTTTCTTTTTGTCTCACAGAAATGACACTGAATTCAAGCCAGGCATGATGGTGTATGCCTGTAATCCCAATGGCTCATGAAACTAGGGCAGAAGGATCCCATGTTCAAAGTCAGTCTTGGCAACTTAGTGACGCTCTAAACAACTTAGCGAGGCCCTGTCTCAAAAGATAAAATACAAACGACTGGGAATGTGTCTTGGTGGTTAAGTGCCCCTGGATTCAATCCTCAGTACCAAAAAAAAAAGTGACCCTGAATTCAGATCAATGAGAGGAGGAAAAGAAAAATCATTAAAAGGGTGCTGGCACAGTCATATGAAAAATAAAATTGGTTTGGACCCAATACCAGATAAATTAAATATGAATACTAACACTTTTTAATAAAAGATTTAAAAGAAAACACAGGATATTAATACAACATTGAATATGAAAGTATTTCCCAACGAAACTATAAAAGATAAATTTGACCTGACAGCATTAAAATGTAAAACTTTTGTTGTCAAACTCGCTCAAAAAGAAAGAACATAGAGAATATATTTTCAAAAGTGCCAAAATTTAATTAGTATTCAGAATGCATTAAGAACATCTGAATCAATAAGGAAAGACACGGAAAAACCAGCAAAAAGTATGAACTGGCAATTAGCAGATGAAGAAACATCAATGGCCAATGTTAAAAATTTTACTTCCAGTAATTGTGAATTAGTTCATTCTAATGAATAATCTCATGATAAATACTTTTAGAAGCTGAAAAAATGCAAAATGTACTCTCTTGAAGATACTTGAGAGTAAACTAGATAGTTAAGGGCTGCTAGACCAGCATCAGGGAGAGAATGAGAGCTTATCCTGTACTGCCAGGATCTACAGATGCTTCAGCAAGTATGAACTATTACAGTAATGTTTTGTTTTTGTACTACTAACCTCATACATGCCAGGGAAAATGCTCTGGCCTAGAGATACACCCCTATAAAAATTTCATTTTTTAAATTATTTATATATTGGCACCAGGGATTGAACCCAGGGGCACTTAACCACTGAGCTACATCCTCAGTCCTTTAAAATTTTTTTTTATTTTATATAGTTGTAGATGGACACAATACCTTTATTTTTGTTTATTTATTTGTATGTGGTGCTGAGGATCAAACCCAGTGCCACAGTGTGCAAGCAAGGCAAGTGCTCTACTGCTGAGTCACAACTCCAGAAGGCCCCCCAGTCCTTTTTATTTTTTATTTTGAGAAAGGATCTCACTAAGTTGCTTGAAGCCTTACTAAATTACTGAAGCTGGCTTTGAACTCTCCTTGAATGGTTGGGATTGCAGGCCTGCACCACTGCATATGACTAAAAATTATGTTTTCAGACAGGCTCTTGCTTAGTTGCCGAGGCTAGCCTCAAACTTGCAATTCTCCTGCCACCTGTCATGATTGTGTTTTAAGCCTGTGATTTTTGACATGCTTTGTTTTCTTCTCCCATATTTTTATTTATGCATTATAGTTGTATATAATGGATTTTTTGTTACATTCACAAATGCATGCAATAAACAATATAATTTGGCAATATCATTTCTCAGTATTTCTCCTTCCATTCCCTCTTCCCTTCCCCCCTTGGGGTGTTTTGTTATATAGCAATAGGTGACTGATTTCAAATAAATACACAAGGACTGGGAATGTAGCTCACTGGTAGAGCACTTTCCTAGAGTGTCCAAGTCCTGGATTCAATTTCTAGCACTGCAAAATAAAAATTTTTAATTAAAAAATAAAATAATAATTCATAGCTACCTGTAGGAGAACGCAAGGAGATGTGAACTAGAATGAGTACAGAAGCTTTAACTACTTTATCTCAGTATTTTTAAAAATTTTTTTTAGTTGTAGATGAACACAATGTTTTAATTTTATCTATTTTTTTTTAAATGTGGTGCTGAATACTGAGGCATGCAAGGTGAGTGCCTTACCACTGAGCCACAACCATAGCCCAGTAATTTTTTTCAGTAATTTTTTATTTCTTAAGTTGATGTGAATACACAGAGGTTTGTTACTTTCTTTTTAACTCTTACATATAAAGACAACCTTTTTTTATGATATGTTCTAAAGACATTCTTTTTCATATGTTCTTTTGTATTTAATTTTTTATATATTTTCTTAAAATATCTTGTTTATAACTAAAGAAACTTTTTTATACTTAGATCTTTAATCCATTTGTAACTTTTTTCTACAGTATGAATATAACTGAATTATTTTCCAAGTGTGCTAGTTTACTGGCCCTGTTTCTCCTTTTATCCACACCTCTTGCCATGTGACTAGTCCTTGACTAAAGAGGTTGAAAGCATCCCCTCTCTCACCTTTGACTTTTGGGTGTGACCATGCAATTTTTGGATAGTACAGACTTAATGCAATCAAGGCTTTTATTTTATACCATTGCTATCAGCACAAGAACATACCCTAAATAACCAGCTGGTGCAAAAATAAAAATGACTGTAGATCTATAACTTGAAGGAGAACCAACAAGTGGAGCCTAACCTAAGTAGGTATGTGCGCCAGCCAACAGAGAGCCCAGCCAAATACAGAAGTATGAGTACCTTTAAAAGGTAAAGATTTGGGCTGGGATTGTGGCTCAGTGGCAGAGCCCTTGCCTGGAAAGTATGAGGCACTGGGTTCAATCATCAGCACCACATCAAAATAAATAAAGGTAATGTGTCCATATACAACTAAATATATATATATAATTTTTTTTTTTAAAGGTAAAGACTAGACTGGGGATGTAGATCAGTGGTAAGGGCACAAGAGCATCATGAGGCACACCTGTAATCCAGCAACTTGGGAGGAAGATTGAGTTCAAAGCCAGCCTCAGTAATTTAGCAAGACCCTGCCTCAAAAAGGGTTGGGGACATGCTCAGTGGTTAAGTGTTCCTGGGTTCAATCCCTTCTCCCTTCATCATCCCCCTCTAATAAAAACTAAAGTACTAGGAATTAAAAATGTATGCAATGGGCCTGGGATTGTGGCTCAGTGGTAGGGCACTTGTGTAGCAAGCGTGAGGCATTAGGTTCGATCCTAAGCACCACATAAATAAATAAACTAATTCATTAAAAAATAATAAAATAAAGATATTGTGTCAATCTATAACTAAAAATTTTTTTTAAATGTATGCAATGAAGAGTAAACACAGTGCTTCTCAAACAAGATTGTGAACAGATTCACTTGTTTAACCCCAAACAGGCTTCTCTTTCGAAAATTCACTCGCCTCTGAACACACCCACATACTCATATCAATATGGAATGGCACCACGGTGACCTTATTTTCCTATCTTAGGAAACTAGTTCAAAAATCTAGATATATCTTTCAGAACAAAATTTGGCAAAGATTCACGATCAATGATATACATAGTCTCCAATTATAGTTCTGTAACGTAAAATAATCCATCTTTCCCTATGCAATAATTATTCCACTAATGAAGCACTTTATTGGGGACTCATACTGAAATATTTTCACTCAGGCATGAAATATTAAGCACATGTTAAGTGACAATTTTGTTTGCTGAAAATATTAGCTGTCACGGAATATTTTACAACGGAAACCAGATAATTTAAACTGGCGATACGCACAACTGTTTTCCTCAAACTGCCCTTAAATTATAACTGTTCAGAGATTTTTTTTCTAGTGTAGGTTTAAGCCCCCAAATCCCAGCACTCTCAGCGGGACTCTCATTTCCAAGATTCAGGGAATCATTCCTTTCCTTTTCCTTGCCAATGTTCGTTCTT